TTTTTTTTTTTTTTTGAGTAACAGGCGAAAATCAATGCGCGCGCGGATGTCATCCATAAAATTGATTTGGTGTGGCCTTAAGGTGACAATATGTACGAAACTGCACTACAGTAAACTTAGGGATTTACACTAAGACCAAACATGTTTTAATACCTTCTAGGCGATAATTGTCGAACGTTCTGCACGGTGTAATGCTATTTACATTGTATTTTTGGAACTCAGCCTATCCTAACATCCTGCACGTTTACTATGAAGCACCAAGCATGTATTATGGGTTCCGAGTAAACGAGCTTAAAGTGTGTGATACTCACACAATAGACCTACAGTGGTAACATGGGTTCCATCCTGGTTAGTTTACGTAGTTACGAGCGGACGTAAACTAACCAGGATGGGACCCAGGCTACTACAGTGGACTGTAATTAGGACACAGCAAGTAATTTGTATGGATGACATCAGCGCGCGCATTAATTTTCGCCTGATTTTGAAAGAAAACAAGAAATTTTGTTGCTTTCTGACAGTGGTCAACATGCCGAAAATGGGCAAAGAGTTCTGTTGCCATGCCGGAAGGTGGATGGCAAATAACTAAGAAGAGAGGAGACAAGAAAAGGCTCTGATTTAATGTTTTGTTTCTTACATTGATGCAGTGATATGTGATGCTGGCTGTGTATATGTGATGTTTCCACTGAATCAAAACTATTTGTACATTGATTGAGTCAAAATTTTTAAATATAGGAACCTTGTTTTTTTCGTCCCGTCTTGTTTTTTTCGCCCGCTCGCATTAGATTTGGAGTCTGCTGAGGATGTCATCCATAAAATTTACATGCTGTGGCCTAACATTAACATTTTGTAAGCTAGGCAAGGAAAAAAAATGACCGGATATGAAATGTCGATACTCTAGTCAGAGGAACTTGAATGTTTATTTGTAACGCATCATTGTATAATGGGCGGTGCCCTTACATCTAATGATTTTTCATGCATTCCATCGCTAGTTTTCAGAGGTTGGTCACATTTAGATCAGTGGATTTTAAAAACATTTATGTAAAGAACATTATTTTTTTGCTTTTTCGCACTAAATTACCTATTATTCAAAATCGAGCGCATTTTTTAAAAAATTCCTAAAACTCGATTGTCGGGAAAACTATTACAGTCTTTTTAAGCCGTCAATGAGGTATGTTGGACTCTCCATGCCTCCAGGTTTAAACGAGTTTTGCAGACATGTCATCTTGCCCGGAAGTGGGGAGTGTGATATGCATACTAGCGTGAAGAATCATTACAATATTCAAGGTCACCACGAATACAACACCAGATTCTCTATATGTTTCATGTCCACAACAAATTAATAAGCGTACAACAGTGAGCAGATTATTTTTGGAATGAGCAGAGCACTTTGGACCAATGCCTCTGGCTGTTTACAGCTTAGAGGTACATATCCAATATGTTGTCAAAAACATCTCTGTTACATAGCGGATCATAATGACCCCCAGCGGGGGTCTTCACGCTTCGTTAAAAATGGAAAAATCTTAAGATTTATTCCAAAGATCTCAATATTCTAGACGAAATCTTGAGACCTTATGAGACAATCTTGAGATTTTTCATGACAATCTCAAGATCTTTCAGAAAATCTTAAGACGAAAACTTAAGGTTTCAAGATCTTTCCAAGATGTTTTCAAAGCATCTTGAGATTTTTTCATAGCATCTCAAGATGCTTTGAAAATATCAAGATTGTTGAAAAAATCTCAAGTTTCTTTCAAGATTGCTTTATAAATCATGAGATCTTCTAAAAAATCTTGATAGTTTTTAAAGCATCTCGAGATACTATGGAAAAATCTCAAGATGGTTTATAAATATCTTGGAAGATCTTGAGACCTTGAGTTTTCATCTTAAGATTTTCTGAAAGATCTTGAGATTGTCTCATAAGATCTCAAGATTTTGTCTAAAATATTGAGATCTTTGGAATAAATCTTAAGATTTTTCAATTCTTAACCAAGCGTGAAGACTCCCGCTGGGGGTCATTATGATCTGCTATGTAACAGAGAAGTTTGTGACAAAATATTGGATATGTACCTCTAAGCTGTAAACAGCCAGAGGCATTAGTCCAAAGTGCTCTGCTCATTCCAAAAATAATCTGCTCGCTGTTGTACATGTAACAGTTACATGTACTGTCCAGGAAACGAACACTGTTGACCTCCCGAACACCAGCCGACCACCAACCAGCCATGCCGACCTTCCCGAATACCCAAGAATGTTTAAAAACGTTTTAAAACATTTGGCTGTGACATGGCGCAGCCTAGCCTGGTATCCAGTCTGATCGTGATTGGGGGTATTGGGGTGTTCAGGCAGGTTGTGTCTTCGGGGGCTCTAATAGCTTCCCCCGCCCAGTGCAACAGGCCGTCCCGGTAGGAGTGTTACGCTAATCAGAGACAGTATGCTTGGGGATTTGGTTTCCCCCCAACACGATATTATTAATCTCTCGTGAAATACACACCGGGAAACCTATGTGAGGCGGGCGGGCCAGAGCTCTTACGGCCCCGAGCTCTTACGGCCCCGACCACGATCAGACTGGATACCAGGCTAGGCGCAGCCGAACCGTAGCCGAATTCGACAAACACCAGCCTACCCAGCCGAACGACAGCCGGCTCACTTCTTACCATGGTTGGCGGGCATTCGGTCCCTTTTTTAACCTCCTTGGTTAGCGTTATGGAGGTTAGATTCGTGAGTGTGTGATTATGGTGTGTCCTAATACCCCTATCACGTTTTCTAGGAACCAAGTCCCTGTGCTATCCATGTTTTTCAAAGCTATCGCATAACTGCAGCCTATACTCCATGGGATTGTGCTTCCCTTCATGTGTTTTAAATGCAAGGCCGGAGATTCGCTTGAATGAGTCTATTTTTGTTTTGAACTAGTCAAGCCGCCTGAGCTGACTACAAGACCGTCACAGTGTGCGGTGATACGCAGGTTTTGTCACTTGGAGTTGGGGCTCAACAAAAGGAAGGCCCCTCGAGGGGACTGACAGTCCCTTACCAGATCAACACAAGGTATATGTCATTTTATTATATCATTAATATTGTTTTCTATGCTGTGTTACACTTCCAAACGCTTGATACGTAAGTTTTGATTGTTTGAACGGGAATAAAAATCCTTAGGCAGGGTTTAAAAAATCTGTAGTACAAAAATATGTAACCTACTAGTTGATAAAACCATGTTAGGCCACACCGTCTTAATTTTATGGATGACATCCTCTGAAGTCCCCCAAACTAGTGCGCGCGGGCGAATAAAAGAAAAATCCGGCCAAAAATAAAAATGCTACTAAATCACAGGAATACAAAGCTAGTGTTGTGAATTTACGGCAGTACATACCAACGTATACAACAAGCCGGCACATGCTGCCTTTGACGAAGTTATAAGTCGGCAGTCTCGGCACTGTACGTATGTACTGAGTTCTTGAGTCCTGGAGCTTCGGTAGCCTGGGTGCCCGGCTCCGTATTGTTGCTAACTACCATGGACTGCCCAGGCCAGAGCCTCGGTGGACATGATCTTTTTTTTATACACATTTAACAAAGACACTTTTAGAACAATAAATGCTAAATTCTGTACCTACACGGAGCCTACAGCTATACATACTAAAATTTCCTCTTCACATTCGAAAAATCCCTTCTATACATTCTAAAAATCTCCGGCCCCCATACATTCTAAAAATCACCGCCATACACTCTAAATTTGAGCTCCGTACATTCTAAAAATCACCTCTATGCAAGTTCTCGTTTGAGAAATTCTTGTAATGATTTTACGGAAAACTGTGCAACATTAGTAAGGAAACTGTGCAATATTACATGTATGTGTCTGTGAATGTATCACAATGTGTTAAATGTTTCCCTGTATGTACGGTCATAATTCATGGCCGACGTGACCTGGGCTCAATGTCCCTTTCTTATTTGCGAAAAATGAATGATTTTATATAAAATTCACCTCTGTACATTCCTAAATCTCTTCTATATATATTCTAAAAACTTCCACCGCGATCGTTACCTGTAGAAATGCGTTCGATGTGTGTATGCCTACAGGAAAAATCACACCAATTATAAACAATCAAGACACAATGTAAGATGGTGACAACTTTAGGATTTTAGGACACTCTTACTTTCAAACTCTTGCTTTCACTCCCATATTTACACTTTGTACAGAGGACATTCAACATTCGACATTAAACACATGGAGAGATTTTGTGGTTCGTTGTCTGTATGTTGAAAAAGCTGTCTGCTAAAAGTCAAACTAGGCGTGTCATTTCAACACGTTATCTATAGTAAACTTGGTCAAGCGAAGATCCCGCCAATACGGGGACGCCTAAGCTTAATATCCTGTGGCTTTCTGTTGTTCTGTTGTGACAAACTTATCAGATAAGACCCTAAGTATGTATAATATGTAAGGTGTGTTAAGGTGTTACGCTTAGCTATTGTAGTGCGCAAAGGAGTGCCGTTTCTATAGGTTATTTGTTTGGTCATGTGGAACAGGCCACATATGCACAACGACTTGATTTTTTGGATGGCAACCTCTGAAGACCACCAAACTAGTGTGCACGGGCGAATGAAAAAGTGCTTTTACAAAAGCTGCCATTTTCGCAGCAAATTTTTTTATGAAAAGGCTTACAGTTTTTACGAACTGGTGGATGGCAACAAAATCAGTGTCAGATATAGTGATTATTCTCTGCAATATACTTACACAAATATGTGTAATGTTATCATAGTCATGTACATATAAGAATTATAAACTTTAGACATAATAGACTAGTTCACATGTCATTACCGGTAAACTTATTATTACTTTTTTACCATCAGTATCATATTGATTTCTTAACAGTTTTAGTAGGATCCATACTTCTGTGGTGCAGGTACAATTTGTATTGAAAAGGTAATTTTCAATGTTACATGCACCAGTTCAGGTATGCAAAAAAATGTATTTCGGGCCCTGAGTGCATTCACTAGGCTATGTTTAGTTCCATAATTTACCAACATCGCTAAGGCGAAAATGGTAAAAAATTCCGGCCAAAAATAAAAATGCTGCTAAACCACAGGAATACAAAGCTGGTATTGTGAATTTGCGGCAGTACATAGCGACGTATACAACAAGCCGGCTTTTCTGTGGAATTTATAAATCGGCACTGTGCGTATGTACAGAGTTCTTGCCGTCGAGGAGCTTCGGTGATCCAGATGCCATCCTCCAGAGTTACCACCGGTTCCGTATTGTCGCTAACTACCATGGACTAATTATCCAGGCCTAGAGCCTCCGAGGACGTGATTTTTTTTTTTTTTTTTGAGAACAGGCGAAAATCAATGCGCGCGCGGATGTCATCCATAAAATTGATTTGGTGTGGCCTTAAGGTGACAATATGTACGAAACTGCACTACAGTAAACTTAGGGATTTACACTAAGACCAAACATGTTTTATTACCTTCTAGGCGATAATTGTCGCACGTTCTGCACGGTGTAATGCTATTTACATTGTATTTTTGGAACTCAGCCTATCCTAACATCCTGCACGTTTACTAGGAAGCACCAAGCATGTATTATGGGTTCCGAGTAAACGAGCTTAAAGTGTGTGATACTCACACAATAGACCTACAGTGGTAACATGGGTTCCATCCTGGTTAGTTTACGTAGTTACGAGCGGACGTAAACTAACCAGGATGGAACCCAGGCTACTACAGTGGACTGTAACATTAATATTTTGTAAGCTAGGCGGGGAAAAAAGTTGACTGGATATGAAATGTCGACACCCTAGTCAAGAGGCACTTGTTTATTTGGATCGCATCATTGTATAGTGGGCGGTGCCCTTACATCTAATGATTTTTCATGCGTTCCATCGCTAGTTTTCAGAGGTTGGTCACATTTAGATCAGTGGATTTTAAAAACATTTATGTAAACAACATAATTTTTTTTTTGCTTTTTCGCACTAAATTACCTATTATTCAAAATCGAGCGCATTTTTTAAAAAATTCCTAAAACTCGATTGTCGGGAAAACTATTACAGTCATTTTAAGCCGTCAATGAGGTATGTTGGACTCTCCATGCCTCCAGGTTTAAACGAGTTTTGCAGACATGTCATCTTGCCCGAAAGTGGGGAGTGTGATATGCATACTAGCGTGAAGAATCATTACAATATTCAAGGTCACCACGAATACAACACTAGATTCTCTATATGTTTCATGTCCACAACAAATTAATAAGCGCACATGTAACAGTTACATGTACTGTCCAGGAAACGATTTGCATTTGTAATATTGTGATTTTTTTTTTTCTGTAAGGAGGTACTTGTATAAGAAGGTCCTGAATACCCTTGTTTACATTTAAATGACCGCGGGTGACCCCAGATCGAACGTCGTTCGGTTTGAGTTGCGTAAGATCGAACACGATTCGGGTTCTAAAGTAGGTGGGGACAACCACCAATTTCACACTTCCTATAATGCCTAGTAACGGTCACGGATATGCAGGGATATGACGTAAGACCATCCCCCCTCCCCCTTCCTCGATGTAATATTTCCCACAAATTCTATCGACAAACTGGTTCTACCGAAGACTCTCCTACTCGGTAATGCATTCGACCGTGCGAGTAGGAGAGTCTTCGGTAGAAGGTGGAACGATAGAAGGTACGTCATTTTCTCTAATTCCAACAAAAATGCAATTATAGCATATGCTTTATACTAGATAAATAATTCAAAACAATAGTTGACCAGTTTGTGGATAGAATTTGTTGGAAATATTACATCGAGGAAGGGGGAGGGGGGATGGTCTTACGTCATGGCCGCACAACACAGTATTTATGGGCGAACCCCTTAGTCAACCAGGAACCCGCGTAAGGCTTCTGTTGTCAAATGAACCTTAACATTTTTTTTTCTTTAGATTATTCATTACACCCTAACACCTTTACAAATTGGGTGTATGTGTGTGTGGTTGGGGGGGGGGGGGTCACAATTGTTCAAAAAGTCACGGTGGGGGGTGCTTTCTTCATGCCGTACCCTGGGTACCCTAAGGTCCTATTAAACAGTGCTCCAATTCACACGAGGCAAAATATATCTGTCGTGCGACATTTAGGCCGTGTTTATGTGAAGTCACCCAAACCGCGATTCGGGTAACTCACATTCCTCACATCTAGTGAAACCGTGTCCGATCACATTTCGCTTGAGGTACATTTATTGTTGTTTGATGAAAACTCGCAAGGTAGCGTGTTATTAATGTCAGAGGTCGGCGACCTGCTTGCTGATGCCCCCCTCCCAGCCTATCTCGGCCGAATGCCGACGTGGTCACAGAACGGACCCGTCATTTGACCCTTACTGCTCTTGAAGTTGCTGCCACGTAAAAGTTGGTATTGCATAAAAAAAAAAAGATATCACCCCGTAATCCATGACCAGGCGAAGTTACATTGAAATCACATTGCGTTCAGACGCAAATCGCGATGCGGGAAAACCGATTCGAAACCACCTCTAGAAGTGGTTTGGGATCGAGGCGCTTTCAATGTTATTTGGAACGTTCAGATGGAGCCACTTGAAACCGGCTTCGGGGTAAAGCACATGTAAAGCGCCTTCACTGACTTCACATAAACACGGCCTTAAGATGATGATCGTTAGATTTTTTTTCAACGGACCAAGTAAGGAATTTGTTAAATGGTAATTAGAATCAAGGACGTTGAATCGACCTTTTAGCAATAGCAATATCAACGAAAATTCTCGGTAGTCTATTACTCATATATGGTTCATTGGAAGAGACATCACAGGATACCAATGTGTATTTGTCTTTTTTCGTATCAAAACAAGGTGGGCGCTTTTCAATATTTCTTAGTTCAGGTGAAAAGCCCCTTGCTATTTGTGTGTTTTAGACTGGTCGCCCGAGGTTAAGGATTGTAATGGTACCCCATAAAAAGATCAACGGTTGACACCTTTAGTCCGACACAATGGGGAAGTGTTGACATTACTCGGGCGTTTATTGGTGTACACAATACGCGGTCTCGTCAGCGTGTTGACTTTAGTTAGGAAATGAGACTATAAAGATCTTGATCCCAAAGTCAGACAAACAACACCTTCGGATTTACTGCTTTGCTGATTGAACTACATGTACATGCATGATAATACAGACAGGCAGACATGTCGGTGGGATCGGCGGTGCTAGGTCTCCTTTGCGTGGGTCTGGCAGCGGCCAGCCCGCTCGTGGGTCGGCTGAACCTGCCGTCCAAACAGCCGCACTGTTACGGGACGGTCATCGCGCCTCGGCTGCTGCTGACGGCTGCGGAATGTGCCTTCAACTCCGCCACAGGCAGACCCCATTCCAACCTGCAGTTTTCCCTCAGCACTGGGGCCAAAATCAAGGTAGGGCTCACTCTTACCTGCATGCGCAGTTTTCCCTGAGCACTTGGGCCAGCATCAAGGTAGGGCCCACTATAACCTGCAGATTTCCTACAGCATAAGGTAGGGCTCACTCCAACCTGCAGATTTTCCACAGCGTAAGGTATGACTCACTCTAAATTGCAGTTTTTCTTCAGAACTGGGGCCAAACTCAAGGTAGGGCTCACTGTAACTTGCAGTTTTCGTCTTTAAGCACTGGGGCCAGCATCATGGTACGGCACACTGTAACCTGCAGATTTTCCACAGCGTATGGTAGGACTCACTCTAAACCTGCAGTTTTGCTTCAGAACCGGGGCCAATATCAAGGCCCAGTTTTACGTAGGTCAGCAATGGGGCCAGCATCATGGTAGGCCCCGCTCTAAATAACCTGCGGTTTTTCCAACATCACAAAGTAGGGCTCATTGCAAGCTAAAGTTTTCCCACGTCACATCATACGGTAGGGCTCACTTCAACATCCAGTTATCCAATATAGCACTAACGTAGGGCTCGCTCCAATCTGCAGTTTCCCCACCACAGCATAAGGTAGGGCTCATTAATTCCAAGCTGCAGTTTCCCCCCATCATACGGTAGAGCCCACTCCAGTCTTCAGTTTTCCCACAGCATAAGGTAGGGCCCACTCTAAGGACTTGTGTTTTTATCTTGTGATGCTATACTTTATTCCGACATTAAAGGTACAAAGAGTTTGAATTTCCATCGAAAGCTGTCGCTTTCATCCGGAAGAACAATCATGGCAAATTGCTTCCGAATTGATTTCGTGAATCCGATCGTTTTCTCAGGAGACGCAAAGGTGAGGTCAGCAATTGGTCAGACATGCTATCGTCTCTGTTTAATGATTACTGGAGTGCCCGGATATATATGGCCTATTTTATACCTTTTATAAGGCCACAACAAGTAAATTTTATGGATGACAGCCTCCAAAGACTCTAAATATTTAAAAAAGGCGGGCTGAAGAAAACAATGTTCTTACATTTTTTTTAAATTTTGACTCAATCATTCTACAAATTGTTTTTGTTCGTTGGAACATCACATGCACACATTCAGCATCACATATGACTGCATCAAAGTAAGAAACAAACCATTAAATCAGAGCCTTTTGTTGTCTCCTCTCTTCAAAGTTATCTGCCATCCACCTGCCTTTATGGCAACAGACATATTTGCCCGTTTTCGGCATGTTGACCACTCTAAGAAGGAAACAAAATTTCTTGTTTTGTTTTTTTTTTTTGAAATCATGCGAAAATTAAAGCACGCGCTAAAGTCATCCATGGAAATTACTTGTCGTGGCCTAATTATTACCAACACAGAGTGCCAGAAACGGCACATGTTCCATGTAAGACATCACGAATTTAGCGCGGCGCGCATCCAGGCGCGCGGGGTTCCTCGCGCCCACTTCCCGATCGTATTCGCCTTGCCTGCCCGGTGTCACTGCGCCCAGTGCGTACCAGTGCGCCGAGTGCGTACCAGTGCGCCCAGTGCGCCCAGTGCGTACCAGTGCGTACCAGTGGCATAGAATGTGAAATATCACAAGAACACCCGTCACCCAAATCACGAGATCGCCAGGACACGTAACCAAAGTTTCGGGGCGTAGCGTTTGTGTAAGCCATCACGAAACCGCCGGCGAATGCACTTGGGTACACGGCGCCAGCGTTGACACAACCCGACACGTCAGCGTCCGAGCGTGCGGCAGACACTGTGCGACGCATCACGACAGGCAACGCATCACGAATTTTGCGGGACACGCCAGACTTGCAATCCGAGTGATGCTGCACCGGATTTCGATAGACGTTCGTGACTGCTGTCAAAAAAATCGCCGGCAAACGCATCACGAATTTGCGGGACACGCCAGACTTGCAATCCGAGTGATGCGGCGCCGGATTTCGATAGACGTTCGCGACGCATCACGACCGGCAACGCATCACGAATATGCGGGACACGCCAGACTTGAAAACCGAGTGATGCTGCGCCGGAGTTCGATAGGCGATCGTGACTGCTGTCACGAAATCGCCTGCAAACGCACCTCACGGGTACACTGCGTCGGTACACGGCGCCAGCGTGTACAAATCCCGATACAAAGGCGTCAGAGCGTGCGGTAGGCACGACATTCGACGTATCATGACCGGCAACGCATCACGATTCTGCGGGACAGGCACGGCCTGTCGACCGAGCGACGAATGCTTCAGATTGACACGAAGAAAAGAGTTTGGGCTGCTGTAGTGACGTCACTGTAGTCAGTGTAGTGAAGAACACCGAGAGGTCACAGAAATGGGAAGCCCGCTTTTGTAGTGGTAGTACCTGTAGTATCTGTAGTCAGGATGATGAAGAAAAGAGTTTGGGCTGCTGTGGTGAAGTCACGGTAGTCAGTGTAGTGAAGAACACCAAGGGGTGACAGAAATGGGAAGACCGATTTTGTAGTGGTAGTACCTGTAGTATCTGTAGTCAGGATACTGAAGAAAAGAGTTTGGGCTGCTGTAGTGAAGTCACTGTAGTCAGTGTAGTGAAGAACACCAAAAGGTGACAGAAATGGGAAGCCCGATTTTGTAGTGGTAGTACCTGTAGTATCTGTAGTCAGGACTGTTAGAAGCATGAAGAAAAGAGTTTGGGCTGCTGTAGCGAAGTCACTGTAGTCAGTGTAGTGAAGAATACCGAGAGGTGACAGAAATGGGAAGCACGATTTTGTAGTGGTATTACCTGTAGTATCCGTAGTAAGGATACTGAAGAAAAGAGTTTGGGTTGCTGTTGTGAAGTCACTGTAGTCAGTGTAGTGCAGAATACCGAGAGGTGACAGAAATGGAAAGCCCGATTTTGTAGTGGTAGTACCTGTAGTATCTGTAGTCAGGACTGTTAGAAGCACGAAGAAAAGAGTTTGGGCTGCTGTAGTGAAGTCACTGTAGTCAGTGTAGTGAAGAATACCGATAGGTGACAAATGGGAAGCCCGCTTTTGTAGTGGTAGTACCTGTAGTATCTGTAGTCAGGACTGTTTAGAAGCATGAAGAAAAGAGTTTGGGCTGCTGTAGTGAAGTCACTGTAGTCAGTGTAGTGAAGAATACCGAGAGGTGACAGAAATGGGACAAGCCCGATTTTGTAGTGGTAGTACCTATAGTATCTGTAGTCAGGATAATGAAGAAAAGAGTTTGGGCTGCTGTAGTGAAGTCACCGTAGTCAGTGTAGTGAAGAATACCGAAAGGTGACAGAAATGGGACAAGCCCGATTTTGTAGTGGTAGTATCTGTAGTATCTGTAGTATCTGTAGTCAGGACTGTTAGAAACATAAAGTGTGTGGGCTGCTGTAGTGAAGTCACTGTAGTCAGTGTAGTGAAGAATACCGAGATCTAGAGGTCACATTAATTAAGATTCGTGCGACAATTCCTGGGCGTTCATGGGCGTTCGCTAAAAAGAGAATGCGCTGTCTTACCCCCACGAAAGATCTGCTTGGAGATTATCCAACTGGACCAACACTGTAAGATAAATTAAAATTGGACGTGTACTGTTGCATTTAAATTTGTCTATAGTTTTATTCTTCCAGGACGTTTGAGTATTACCTGCAAGAACAGTATTTAACCCATTTGTAGGGTATTTACATTGTACACATCTATTATAATTCATGACAGTCACTGTAATTTGTAAATCACAGCAATAACAGCAGAGTTCATGAATTTCATATCCTTGCATACAGGCTACAGTAATGCTTTACACACACTAATAGTATATGCCAAATAGCAAAAATCCATACTGGGATGAGGAATTCATAAACATTAAAATGAAATATGTCTCTAATAACATATCTCTCTGTCTTTGTTGCCTACTTTATTTCAAGATCTGTTCTTACAAACAAGCCTCCAAACGAAATATCATGCAACAATGTCATACTTACGTATACATTGCCACATAAAACATAATTTGCATATCTGAGCAGACTGAGGCAAAAAGAGACACCGAAAAAGCTTTTTTGGCTCAGAAATGAGAAATCGCTAAATGAAAAGTGATTTTCTCCAAAACAATTCCATCAGGTGGGCAATGACCCACCGACATCATGTATGCGAAATTGGTGATGTGATCGTGATCGTGATCAATCCTCTTGCACGTGGTGCGTAGAGCTGACTAGCTTTGTCAGGGCCCGCCACTTTCCTCTGTCTTCAGCCAGCTGCTGTGTCTGGGGGAGCGGGATGTTGATGTTGCTCAGGTCACGTTGGACAACGTCCATCCATCTGGTACGTGGGGCCCCCCTGGGCCGCCGCCATCCTGCCTGTTCAGGGGCAAAGTCCAGCAAGGCACGGGTGGGATGCCAGGGGGGGAGGCGGAGAACGTGACCGTACCAACGGATCCGTCGTGCAGTTATAAGGCACGATGCAGCAGGTTGTCCGGTCAGGTCACGGAGGTCCTTATTGCTGACATGTTCATGCCAGCGAATGCCGGTAATCCTCCGGAGGGCTCTGCTGTCGAATCCGTCTAATCGTGATTCCAGCGTGGTGTTCAGTGCCCAGGTTTCTGATCCGTACAGTAGGACAGAGATGACAGAGGAGTTGTAGATGCGTTGTTTCGTCTGCTGTGTAATGTGGCGATGTCGCCAGAGTGGCTTCCACAGAGACTGCAAGACTGCTGAAGCTTGGGCACGTCTTTGGTTGATCTCTGGCTTTATTGGATAATTTGCATATTTGACACCGAAACAGCTTTTTTTGGCTCAGAAATGAGAAATCGCTAAATGAGAAGCGATTTTCTCCACAACAACTTCATCAGGTGCGCAATGACCCACCGACATCATGTATGCGAATTGGTGATGTTACAGCATAATTTGCATATTTGACACCGAAACAGCTTTTTTTGGCTCAGAAATGAGAAATCGTTAAAAAAGAAGGAATTTTCTCCAAAACAATTTCATCAGGTGCGCAATGACCCACCGACATCATGTATGCGGAATTGGTGATGTAACAGCATAATTTGCATATTTGACACCGAAACAGCTTTTTTTGG